TTATATATAAAATGTATTTGCAAATAATAAACTTGGCCCAATTCCTTAGAGACACAGACTATTCATATTCGGCAGCATCACTCACCTCTTACTGAAGCATTCCTCCACTAACCCTATGAACACTGAGCCTTCTAACTCTAACATATTATGACTTTCAATGCTGTGGGAGAAAAAGGTGATGTCATAAACACACTGTGTTCCAACATCACTCCTCAGTGAGCTAGATCCATTCTTAGTTACATAATCTCTGAGGTACTAACAGCCTTGCCACCCTCAAAAGAGACACTTGGAGTACAAAGAAAGTGGGGGTGGGGGGGACTCAACAAAGCCCCAAAGCTACAAAAATCCTTAATATATTTTTCATTATTAATCCTTGGCAAAGAAGCAGTTTTGAGGTGGGAGAGGCAGTGGAGAGCTTTAAAATTATTATTTGTATCTCCCCAAAATATCATGGCACCTTCTAGCCACAAATGCTCAGGGGGCAGAAAATCATCCAACAGACCCCATTTCCCCCGCCTGAGCCAACATCGCCCCAGCGAGCTAGAGACCCAAGAGTATCATTTCCCTACTAGATGTCAAGCAGCTTCCTCCAACAAATGGCAGCTTTTATCATTAGTTTTTTTCATGCTATTTTCATCTGTGAGGTTTATAATCCATCAGAACAACCTAATAATGATTAAGTAAAATCAAAGAACTGTTTTAAAAGCCTGTATGCTTTTACTGCTGTAAATGTTTCCCAAGTGAAAAAATCTATCAAAAGCATAAAAGTACCTTGATTTGAACTTCCTTTGTGTTTGAATTAGAGTGTTTCTCTTGGAACACTCTCACATCAGGCTTCTGCCTCTTGGCAAAATCATGAATTGGCTGATGTTGTCTTCGAGGCTTTCCCCTGTCCCCTTTCCCAGCATCACTCTTCTTTCACAGACCCCTTTCCGTTACCTAGGAGCCCCTCATGCTGCCTTCCACATTCCGCCTACTGCACAGTGATGTTCCAGACTCTTTCGAATCCTCCCTTCTACCGTTACATTTGTTTTCCTAAAACCTGCTTGCTTTGAGAAGTTTGCTGGTGGGGGTAAGGGGGCGGTGGGGGGTGGGGAGGGGATGGCTAACCTGATCATCTTTACTAAAATGTTGAATTAACCCTCGTTCTCTTTAGAATTGTTTTTTAAGCAGGTATCCCTAGAAAGGCTATCAACACCTCAGCCCCCAAAATTGCAGGTCTTCTGGTGAATAGTAAGAGGGGACCCTTCAATATAGCTAAACTGTTTAGAAAAAATAGTGAAGTCCCCTGGGTGGGCTTTACTTGGCCTAAGGATTGATGTAGGAAATCTGCGCTCCCCAAACCATCCCCAAGGATAGGAAAGTAATCTTAAACATCTGAGGGGTTTCCAGTTGGCTTCTCACTACACTAAAAATAAAATCTACACTCCTGTTTAGGGTCAAAAAGATCTGGCATCCTTTTACCGCTCTCTACCTCACACAGTACTCTCCAGCCAAATTGGCCTTCCTTCTGTATTTGAACATGCCAAGCTGCAACCTCATTCCAGCCTTAAGGTCTATGTTCCAGTTCTTGGCAAGCAAATTACTCTTCACCATTTGGTCCTCAGCTTAAATGTCACCTCTTCAGACAATCTAAAGTAACCCCACATTTGCTTTCTAGCATACCCTTATTTTATTTTCTTCATGGCATTGATCACTGTAAGATGTTCCTGTCCTTGCATTTGTCTGCCTGTTCTTTTCAGGGCCCCTCCTGCTGTACTCTTCGCTGTCTATCACGTTTATCACTGCATCCCTAGTGTTTGGCATGGAA